TATTTTTATTTTATGACAAATTTCATGCATGGTTTGCCAATGTTTAATTGTTCTGAATTTAAGAGTAATTAGAATAGATTAGAAATTAAGCATATATGTTAAGCACACATGCTTTAACAGATTTTTAAACAACACTGCATTAACCTTAAGATCCCATGTCTAACTAAACTGGTTGGTCCAAAGCTGCATAGTAGCCCTGACACAAATAAAATAAGTTTTATAATAAAAATAATATAATAAGTCATTCATCTTTTTGCTTTTTCTGAATGTGATGAAAATGTGCCAATACATTAAATGTCAGAGTTGTCTTTTTGTCTTTTCCAGAGTATGTTTCTGGATATCTCCTCAATCATGAAGAAGTGAAGAGACAAGGCTAATGTCATGGCTGTAAGAGCTGTTGTCCACAACCCAGCTAGGTCACAAACAAGGGAGAAACTGTATCAATGATCCAGCCATCAACATTGATCCACTCAAGTCACATGTGGCCCAAACCACTCAGCCATGATGAGGCAGCAGACTCAGTGCCAAAGCACCTTACAATGTCTACATGTTCACATTAATAGAAAAGGATTTTTTGAAAATGGACATCTTTCAGTGTGTTGGCCAAATTTTTGATAATTTTTAAGCAAAAAACAAAAAGAATTATTAATCATTGCGCTTAAGAGGATCTGTTTGTTTCTGTAACATGGACTTTATAAGCTTAAATACCTTTTCTAAGTCAAAGACTTCATTAGAATGTGTGTGTGAGTGTGTTCTGGTTGCTCCTACCTTGGTGCGGACCAAAATCTGAAAGTTACTGTACTGGTGGGAACCAACAGCCCTCATGGAGACCAAAATCCAGGTCCCCACGGGGTTGAAGGCATTTTTTACACTCAAAATGTGGTTTTAGTGTCAGGGTTACAGTTGGGTTATGATTAGGTTTAGGGTAAGAATTAGGTTTAGGCATTCATCTTTGATGGTTGGGGTAAGGGTAAGTGAAAACATTATGTCAATGGGATGTCCCCACGAGAATAGCAACCGCAGACGTGTGTGTGTGTGTAGTGCAGTGCAGTGATTTCATGTGGAGTTATACTTTATATTGTATTAAAATGAAATATTTATTAGCAAAACAAAACAAACAACCCCACAAAAAGCTTTTTTCAACAACTATTTAAACAAAATACACACAAACACACACACACCACTATGGAATTTCCATGCTTTTTATTTTATTTTTCAACAACGATTGCCCAGGCAAAATGTATGTTTTTCTCATATCAAATAACCAAGGCATGGCATTGCACAATAGTTACAAAAAAAACCTAAACACTGGTCATTTGAATATTCAAAGATAAAAAAGAAATGAAAAATACTAAATCTGTTTCTAACAGTCATGTTGCAGGTAAAATGAAAATGTAAAATGTACAAATACTATAAAAAGTTACAAACAATGCCACAGAAGCTGTCTACTTGTCTGTCCTATGGTCTTTACTCATGAAGAGGTATGCTGAAGCATGCAGGTAGATACATGTTAAAAGTGTGTTCAACTGTTTATTTCTGTTAGCTTTGTTTTCTTAAAACAACAAGTTCACAATCCAAGATTCATTCATTCTGTAAACTGGCTGGATAAAATAGGTAACGCTATTAGTCTGCTATCAGATATCAGATCACTGCAAACTGGAGGCATCTGAAACTTTAATGAATGTCAGAAAACTCTTCCCATATACCCAGTGCTGTGTGCCAAATAAACACTGTCTTCAATTTCCTGGTAATGCTGACAAATTTATCTTTCAAAATATAACATTACATAAAATAATTTAAAGCGGCATTTCATTTTATTGTCTCAAGTACAATGATATCATTTTACCATAGTAACATATGCTGCCCCGATAGTCTCTGGCTTAAATTTACATTTGAAATGGAATTGCATGCGCTACATGACTGAAAATATTTATCAAAAAGACTACTAGACATTCTACAAATGTTGTACCCTGACATTTGGATTTCTAAAATTCAGACCACCAAATGATTCCTTTTACTTCACTGAAGTGAAACCTTCAATTAAACCAAAATCTTGTTAAATTTACAGCCAAAACAAGGCACAGAATCACTGCATGAAGTTTCTTCATGACTGCACAAAGCGCATGTGGTGAACAGGAGTGAAATAATATGGCAACATAATTCTATGATATGACGTTTTCCAGTCTTACAGCAGTTTTATATCACTCCTTTATTAAAATTAGGGATTAAATATTCCAAAATGTACAACAAAATTTAATGTTGACTCAAAGGCAAGTGTAGGTGATATTATGATTGCACACACTACATTCCCAAAAAATATCAAAACCCCAAATATTTATCACATATCTTTGCAATTAGTGTTTTTTCCCCTCACAAGACATTTTCTTTTAGAAACCAGACATAAAATAGGTGGGTGTAACTGGATTAAGCATTTTATATTGACCTCTTTAAAATTTGAAGGTGTTTTGTAACAGGGAAAGTGAATATTCTGTGAGAAACAGTGTTGTAAGCTCATCAACAAATATGGATCAGATTAATTAGATCAAGTGTACATCTCCTTTATCCAGGAGGACATTTGAGAAAGCATTGGGCATATGAAAAAAACCAACACACACAAAGGAAAAGACGTTATAGCACATAATCTTATGGATAAATACAAATAAAAACAATGATAGATGTATGATACTGTGAGATAACCCAACACATTTTCAAAACAAAGTGTTTTTAATTTTCAAAAACATCTATTTATTTCAAGTAATTTTTCCATTTCAGCACTTTTATACAAACCATGCATGTTCTGTGATTATTCCACATTTTCATAACAATGTTTCCCAGTTTAATGATGTTTCTTAATTACATAAGTTTTTAATATATTGATTGCTGGCTCTCAATATTTTCAGAGGGGAGGAAATGGAAGGTTCATCAATAATGAAACAAAATGCCTGAAATAAACTTGTGGAAATTCTACTACTAGACCCCGGTGATGACAAAATTTGATTGCCTTGTTTTGTGACACTTACAGTGCAGTTTTTTATAAGAGCAGTGGAATTTCCAGTGAATAAAATATTCCTGTGATGGTTAAGCCTATACCCTCTAGCAGCACCAGTTAGAATCCTACTCTTATCACAAAGTCTTGAAACTTTTAACCAATCTAAATAAAACATCATCATTTCTATTAAAATGAACTATCTGTGTTAATTTTATCACTACAGTTAAAAGACCATTTACTACACTACATTGTAACTGACTCACACCTCTTTATGTTAAAATATTACAACTTAAAAGTACAAGTGACTTGCAAATAAAGAACAGTGTGTGTGGCAATAGTGAGTGAGGGACCTGCTCATGTAATTGCCTGTCATTCTCATGTGTTAAAGCGGGCATGTCAAGCTCACATCCTATCCATTAAGAGTACTTTTTGAATTTAAATATCCTATCATCTTTACCAAACTAATAGCTTCACATTTACATAATCACACAGGGAAGTTTTGACTCTTCAGTTCCTGGGTTGATATCTGAGAATAAAGATGAGTGTCATATTAGACTTTCCTGTGCTAAAAGTGGCACAACCCACATTAAAATGCCATGGGCATGCTTCATCATAATGTTCACGGTGTAGCAGCAACAACACAGACACCAGCAGCACTCACCCCTGCCACGTGCCTCACCATTGACATTTCAACAGATGAATCTGGCATCCCTTTAAATCAATATGTGCCAGTGTGCTTGAAACTTTGAACCACCATGCAGTATTACAGATACTGATGCGTATGTAGAAATTCACTATTTGCTTGGAGTTTCAGCACATTGAAATCATTTGTTAATTTGAAACTGAACATGCTGCACTGAATACTTTTCAGCACAGTTGTCTTATGAACAATGCAAGATGAGTGCAATTTAATACATAATTACTACAAACACTAAAATATTACTAATACAATAAATACATGGGTCAAAAGGAAAGAAATAACAGAATATGATTTCCTTACACTTCTCCTTCTGAGCATGGAAAGTTATAAATTCTATTATCCAGTTCCACAAATAGATTCTATGTACTGGTCTTTTAAACTGTCGGTTACAGATCGTACCAGTATAACTGAATTTTAAAGCGATCATAATGGTTAATGTATCCCAATGATCCAAGACATTATGACCTCTCTCAGACAAAGCCAATGATTATTCGATTATTTTATAATTTCACATGTCAACAACTGGGATTTACTAAAGTTTAAAACCCAGCAAAAACAGTGACTTCTCATTGTTAGCATGTTGCAATTGAGAGAAATGCCTAGCCTAATTTAAAGCCTAATTTTCTGGGGCTAATCAAACACAGTGGTAATAGTGATAACATGGTCAGCAAACCATTTGGGAGGAGCTTCTTTGGAATCACCAATCTTTCCTGGCCAAATTCCCAAAGAGAAGAATCCAGATAAACAAACAACAAAAACATCTCTGTAGAAATGATCCATATAAGATGATCATTTTTTAACAGTGTCTATGGCAATATTGAAGTGAGGGACTAGTTCAGTCAAGCACAGTAATAACATGGTCAGCAAACCATTTGGTAGGAGTTTCCTACCAATCTGGATATAAAAGGAAATTCTGCATAAAGCTTGTCAGCAGATGGAAGCATTAGGTGTCTCCTGGTAGACAGCTACACTCACGTTGGACTTTGGTGTGACTGTGTGAAACAACCATGACCAACACCAGCT